GTTAAAGGAATGTGCAGATTAACGGTGGTTCTTGCAGATTCTATCCTAAGGCTGCAAATATTATCACAGGATTTTTTTTCATAATTTGAAAAAAAATTAAGTACAAAAAATTAAATAAAATATTCATTTGGAATTTATTTGTAAGAAGACAGAACTTGTGGAGAGTGTGAGGAATGATTTGTTTGTACTTCAGAAAAAAGAATTGTGGACATGCTTAGGAACAGTTTGTTTCCCTCATAAGATACAAAAGAAAAAAAATATTCCAGCATGTAGGATCTTTAGCAAATACTGACATCTTAGCAAATGTAACAGTCTAGATTGCAGCTACACTCTTAATTTCTTTCTTTCTTTTATTTATTTAATTTATATCCCGCCTATCTGGTCTTTCGACCACTCTGGTCTTTCGACGGCTACCAGATACATACATAAAACTACAAATAAATATTACACCAAAAGTTATTACCTTAAATAACAGATTCTACAAGATGGGAAGAATAAAAACAAACAAAATAAGTAAAGAAAAAAGATCAAGTATTGACTGGAGGGAGTATTGTATTGTAACACAGAGGGAAGTACTGATCTTGTCAGTGAAACACTAGAGGCATTTAGGCTTTCCTGGCTGGTTAAACCTGAGACAAATAGAACTGATTTGTTGTTCCAGTTTATCCCTCTGTTATAAGACATCTAGTGGTTGAAGAAGGGAAGTGGTGATCTCATGAAAAGGAAGACAGGATTCCTGTACCTTTAACAGATGTGCAGAAGAGGGACTTTCCTGCTGAAATTCACATTTCCATCTAACAAAGATAAAAAAAGCCCTGTCCTCTTCATGGTCACCCTAGCAATTTCTGGTTTTCTTTGGCAACTGCAGGGACCTCCGCTAACACCTGCCAAGGGGGGAGTTATATCCTTCCTTCCCCAGTCTGGTCTTCTCAGCAGAGCTTGGAAAAATTACTTTTCTGGACTACAACACCCAGACACCACTTCCCTCAGGAGTTAATAGTCCAAAAAGGTAACATTTTCAAGCATGCTGGTATGGAGGTGCTAAGAGTTGTAGTTTTCTAGGCTGTGGCTCTGAGCAGCATCAGGTGGCTGAGTCTAGCTGTCATTCATTTTGCATGACATCTTTGATTAAGTAGTAGTATTCTTGGGAGCTGTGGGAAAGTAAAACAGGAGCCCTCTGGCACCTGGTACAGTTTCGAGCTGTTGGTGCCGACTGACATTTTTGCCGTGTCCTGCTGTTAAAACATACAGAGTGTCAATTTGTCCAGAGTATGCTCTGACTAGCCATTTTTGCCCAGATATTCATACAAATGCATTGATCTCTTCTTGTTGAGTTAATCCGGGTCTGAATCTTGGAATTGAAAAATATGTTTTTTGGGGAGCTGAGGCTGTGACAGTCCTACACATGGTTGAAATTAAGCCTCAGGCAGCATGTCTTAAGTCCTATTCCCCCCCACACACACACATACGCGCACATTTAATGACTATGACACAAGTCCTCACAATTTTATTAGGGAGCTTCAAGGGCCTGTCTGATCTGCAAGGCAAAGCTTTAATGCAACCCCTCTCGAAAACAAGTTTTCTTACTGTGGCCTTTCTTTGCATTGTTTTTAAAATAAACTTGTTTCCTGACTCCAGCGACAGATGTTTATGTAAAGCTTGTTTGCTCAGAGGGCTGCTCCATGTCCTGTCCCCCTCCAAATGCAACAGTGGCAACACTGATGATTACTGGCTTGTTGTCAAATGGGCTCCAAACACCAGAGCGAAACCCCAGGCTTTGAAATCTCATCTTCTCTGGCACAAGGCATATTGCTGAGCTTGTAGTCTAATATTGACCAAAGGGAGTTGGAAGGGTGTTGTTTTCTAAATGCACTTCTTGCCTTGGCTTGATACCCCACATGTAGCTGCAAAAGGGCACTGCGGCTATCATTCATAGGCAGGGCTAGAGTATATTCCCTATTTTTTGTCTGCAGTGCCCAGAATCCCAATCCAAAAGAGCCATTGGCTGTACTCGCTGGGGGAACTCTGGAGTTGTAGTCCAAAATAAGTAGTTTCTGAGCTCTATACTGGATCATAAATGGAACTAGTTGAGGCAAATAAGCCATGCTGGGCAAAGCACAAGAAAAGCTCTTATAAATCAGGAAAACAGCCACATCCAGCTGTACTTTTCCACCCTAAAAATGTCTTTTGAAAGGGGAAGAGCTCTTGACCTCAGCTTCAGGTCTTGGCAATGGTGGAGGATGCTTTCAGCAGCCTCCAGAGCAAATAAAGGAGGGAGGAAGGGACTCGGTGTACTGAAAAGGGGGAAGAGGGAGGGGGTGTAAAGGGAAAAGGTTGTGCAAGCATTAGGCAGTGGGTAAGTTGAAGGGAGGGATGGGCCTCTTCTCCCTGTAGTTCCCTTTGCTTCTCACCTGATGGGCCAATGGCGGCTCTAGAGTGACAAGAGATGTAACCCAGCATATACCTGGAGGGAGCCTTGTTGGAAACCCCGCTATTAACTCTTATGTCCAGGACATGCCATGCAAAAGAAGTAAAAAGCAAGGCCTTCCTCCAGATACAGGGGCTGTGATATGAACATTTTTAGTCCATTTCACTCTTAGCATTGCTAATAGCCTATTACATTCCGAATTAAACAAAGGCTGAACTGGACATTTCAAAGGTACCCAATGCTTATAAGCTACTCAGTGTGGTGTAGGTGTGGATCGAGTGATGGACAAACACTCAGTAGACTTTAGTTCGAATCCTGGATCAGCCATGGAAAATTCACTGGGGGTGTGGAACTGTTAAAACCACTCCTTAATATCTCTCTCTCACCTTGAAAGTCTCATTAGGGCTGCTGTAAGTGGAATCTGACTTGATGGCATTTAACAGCAATAACAGTTATAGCCTCACCAACAATATCTGAAAGGCAATTGTGCATTTAAGGTGCAAAGTGAGCGACAATAACTCGCACTGCAGTTTGTCATAGAAACAGCAGGGGGTGCATTCATCTATCATGTTAAAAATTTGCCTGCGTGCCTTTAAATTTTCTTGTAGCTATGGTGGAATGTGCACCCTAAGGTGAAGGTCAAAATTTGGCATTTTGTGAACTTTCGGATGACTTGGCAGCATATCTGTGTTTCAGATGAATTAGTCTTTAACCCTGCACACATTTACATATGGGTAAGCATGACTGAACTCAGTGAGAATAGCTGCCAAATAAATGTGCATTGGGATCATATCAAAGATCAGTTTTCTTCATCCAGATGACATTATCTTCAAAATAAATATGCTACATGTAAAACTCAAACATTTTTCTGTTAAATCTCAGTTATTACCAAAAATAAACCCTTTGGAATACAGTGGACCTTCGACTTACAGACGGCTCCACTTACAGACTTTTCAAGTTACAGACTTCTCTGGCCGCAAAATTTAGGTTCAACATGCAGCCAGAGAATCGACCTACAGACCGGGGAAAAAAACCAAAATGGAACAAAAATGGCCGGTTACAGATTAATCGGTTTTCATTGCATTGGAGGTCAATGGAGCCTTGACCTACAGACTTTTCGACCTGCAGCCACCATTCCAATACGAATTAATTCCATTAAGTCGAGGGTCCACTTTATTTAGAGGCCCTGCTTCTAATGAAAAAAGAGATCCATGTGACTTGTGCTTTACTTGAGAAATTTCCTGTCAGCTTTATTTTCACATTCCATCTGTCAGCAAATATGCCACTAGCAGGGAAGGCCACTTCTGAAATATTATTCAGCTTTTCAATACATATACATTTTGAAATCTAAAGGGGGAAATCCGCATTTTTGTGTATTTTTCTTCTTTGTTAAAAGATGGAAGTGATTAATGAACATAGATGCTACCTGAACATCTGTGATTGTTAAAAGATGGAAGTGATTAATGAACAATAGATGCTACCTGAACATTTCAGAGGCATTGGGAAATATCACAATATATTTTTGGGCAACAATTCCCTTGGCTTTGACCCATCACTACTTTGTGAATGCCTTTCCTAGTTATGAAGGCAGTCCTTAAGATGTCCAGATTCTTGCCTTTACACTAGACACAATAGCCATTCATCCTTTCTCACACTTCACACCATTTTACACTAATATAAATATGCAAGTTTTACATACTACACTATGGCCGTATGGGGAAAAGATCTTCAGTTTACCCTGAGGAGGAGACTGGATCAGAGCCTGAAGAAGATTCCCCATGAGATTAGAGGCCTGTAGATGAGGACTCCTCACTTGTAGTTTCTGCCAACCTGCAGATAAGCGAAGAATTTAATCTCTCAGGATTTCCTTTGTTTATGTTCTCAAGTAATGGCTTGGCCGTACAAGGATGTGCTCAAGTACAGTTGTAAAAGTCTGGAATCTAAGAAGAGCTTTGGACATTACACAGTAGAAAGAATAGGAAGCATATAAGACTCTGATTGCCTCATTTCCACACTTATCTGTAACATCTTTGAGTGAACGTTGTACCTCCCATGTTGGTCAGATAATGCAGATGTGTGGAGAACTTACTTATCTGAACATATGGGAAGATGCCAATGTTCCATTTTGAGCACTGCAACGCTAGAACTAAGTGCCTTTTAGAAAGATCTTCAGAGATAATTTGTATCAACACTGTGAAAAGCCTTATGGTACTATCACTTGGCAAGGTGTGTATGTGTGTATCAATATCATTTAAGGCTTTGTGGTGGGTATATGCCAACTCCTGGCTTGCTGGGTGCACAGCCCTAACATATCATAAAAGAAACAACTTATTCTACTCCCATAAACTTAGTGTGGTACTTACTGTGCTGTACGAGGACTAGTGCTAAAAGCTTCAGTCAGGCCCAAGGTAAACAACACAGATAGCATGTCATTAGAAGCAGAGCTTCCTGATGAAAAACATCTGATTGTTCGCAGCACTGTGCTTGCCTTGTTTTGCATTGTGAAATTATGCTTGTTTTGCTTTCCCCAAACTGTATGTAATTCAAACTCTTCTGTCTCTTTTCTACCTAGGTCTCACAGCAAGATGCGTGCCTGGATTTTCTTCTTCCTCTGCCTGGCAGGCAAGGCCCTGGCGGCACCAGTGAGTATCATACTTAGCCTTGCAAATGTCAGACTCGATATTCACAGTAGGATGACCACCCTTTGACAGGGAGAGGGCCTGGGGCACCACATCTCCCTGCCACAAAAAAGGTCTATCTGTTGAACATCTGATGCAGCCAGCCATCGTATAGGCTCCTGCGAGGGAGGAGAAAACGCAAACTAGCAACCAGTCAATAGAGCAGCTATGTCGTTAACTATTTTTGTTTATACCAAAAGTAGAATGCTTCCAGGATCCTAAATTTGATTTAATTCTCTCTTTCTCTCTCCCCTCCCCCCCCCACAAAAGATTCGGCAGAGACTGATATTAAAAGGCATTTGTTTTGAGTACAGAACTGAACGCGGCCCCACTGGATAAGAATCCACTCTTGATTATCCCAAACCAGCTTCATTGCATTAATTAGGTAGGGAATGTGTGGTTCTCAGATGTTGTTGGACTGCAACTCCCATGATCATTCACTATTGGCTAGAGTAAAGAACGAACTGCAAACCAGCAACAGCTGGAGGACCACACATTCTCTGCTCCTGGCTGAGGGCAAAAAAAGAAGTAATTTGATTGCTGCTAGAAGTCAAAGGTCATTGCTAGTTGATTGCAGATCACTTGGACTTCTGTCCTGATCTGTCTTCAGTCCTGGTTTAAAGAATGTATGGGTTAAGTGTTCAGGAGTCATATTCTATTATATGAATGTTTATGGAAAATATGACAAGCAAAGGCTTCAGATGAGAGCAGTGCATTGCTACTTCCAGCCTCTCTCTGGCTTTGGTTCACTTTTATGTCCCCTACTCCATGATGTCTTCCTCTCTGTGAAAGCTTCTGCTTCGTTCATGTTTCCTTATCTTCATCTTCCTTCTTTTCCCTGCCACCATCTCATTATATCCAGATATTTTGTTCCGTTTTGGAACAAATTTTGCAGCTTGTAAAGGTTCCATTTTGGAAACAAAGAAAACAACTCAGGCATGGCTTACAGGCAGAGGGTTACTTTTTTTGGATTACAACTCCAAAATATAAAGGAATGGTTTGGGCATTATAATTTTAAAAAACAAAAACAAAAACAATTCTTTCAAGTTCAAGATACTGTACGGGTGAATACAAAAATCTGCCAACAGGACAAAATACAGATGCACACAAACATACCTCAAGCTCCACTCTTCTCAGAAGACCTGTTTTCAAAGGCATGAGTCTCTGCCCAAATCATGCCTTAAGGATAGGAGTGTTGTGAGAAGTATTGGCAAAGTTCCTAGGATGGGGCCTAAATTAGGGGACAGTAGAAATTCATGAAGCTTAACCCATTGAATTCTCAAGAAAGTTGTTTTGAAGAGAATGAGTTCCCAATCCTAGGCAGTATCGTAGAAATACGCCTTTTCAAATTGTTGGATTTCTGTCTGCAAAAAACCCCCAAAAACCACAATAGAAGAGAACTCTATCAGGAAACTGACCCAACTAAGCAGTGCTTCCAGGGAGTTTCCCCAAAAAATGTACAAGGTTAAGTAAACGCTTTGACTCTCATGCCAATCCTGCAAGGTAGAACAGCCACTACACCCATGAAACACACAGTCTCCCAAGAATCCAAGGCAGGAGCGATACAGAGTAAACATAAAAGAAAACAAGAAAGCTAACTAAACTACCTAGTACTTACATACAGTGTAGCAGCAGCATAATCTCAGAGCATGCACAAAATACATCATGGTATAACAACATAGAAACTGACCACAGCATCATCTAAGAGAAAACTAAGCTCACTAAAGTAACTTTTGAACTTCTTTCTATACCTTATTCATCACCTTCCAGAACTTTCAAGATGGTGCAGCAATCTGGTTTCAAATTCTCTCAGATGTCCACAAAGAGTTGGTTTCTGCCTTCTTCCTTCACCACACCTGCAAGGTAGAACAGCCACTACACCCATGAAACACACAGTCTCCCAAGAATCCAAGGCAGGAGCGATACAGAGTAAACATAAAAGAAAACAAGAAAGCTAACTAAACTACCTAGTACTTACATACAGTGTAGCAGGAGCATAATATCAGAGCATGCACAAAATACATCATGGTATAACAACATAGAAACTGACCACAGCATCATCTAAGAGAAAACTAAGCTCACTAAAGTAACTTTTGAACTTCTTTCTATGCCTTATTCATCGCCTTCCAGAACTTTCAAGATGGTAGCAATCTGGTTTCAAATTCTCCCAGATGTCCACAAAGACATGAGCAGTTTCTGCCTTCTTCCTTCACCACGGTGGAAATTATTCCCTAATTAGCATAATACCAGAAAATAAGCCAACTCGCCTTGGAGCGTTTGTCCAAAAGATAAATTACAGGTGGTATTTCTATTCCTTTGTAGCCAGAAACTGCCTCCCTCCTTTCTCTTGGCCAGCTGTTCCCAGGTACTGAGAAAAATCTGGATTTTTCAGAAAAGTCCTGCAATCCACGTTCCCTCAATTTCTCAGTTTCTTCACAAGGTGCAATTGGAGTTACCATTCAGGAAGAAATGGGGGGGCATGTGTTCCCTGTTCGTTATGTAAAGGGTCTAACAACACTTGGATGGCATCCAAAATGGAGACTCAGAAACTGTGTTATCACTATGCTAAGGAATGGACCTTTAGGCAGGAAACTGAGACACAATCCATAGAATAAAAAGAACTAGTTCTGGAAACAGCCACTCTATAATTTCTTATTTCTCTCTTACAGCAGGAGGCTCTGCCAGAAGAGATGGAAGTAATAGAGGATCCAGCAACAGAGGTATGAAGAACCATGCTATCGACTCTCTCCTTTCTCTTCCAAGTGCTTTGTTGGAGTGGCTGGCAAGCTTTGCTTTTCTGAATGTGTGATCATGAGCTGAGAGGTTGCAGAGACAATTTGAAATATAAGTATTGTCAGTATCACTTAGTTCTGCTGATAGTCCCCTTTTGGGTGTCTTCTACACACACACTTTAGGGTCTTTGTGCTCCAAACCCAGGGAACATGCAGCTCTCATATGGAGCTGCATGTTGCCTAGGTTTGTAGCACAATATAAGAGCTGCACATCGTGTGTGTGTGTGTGTGTATATGTGTATATACACATACACACAGAGAGAGAGAGAGAGATTGAGAGGGGGGGCTTTGTCTATATAAACATCCTTGCTCAGAGGATTTGTTGGCTACCGGCTACATCTGTTGGCTACTGACCAGAGCTTGGAAATAATGAGCTGCACAGTCACATGTAATGACTGAGTTTTTGTGAGGATGATAACAAAGTTACATCTAAAAACTAATATAATGAGCAGGAACAACCAAGCAGGAGGAGTTTAATGAGTACATCACTTATTACATCTTATTCACCTTTAAAAGAGTATTCAAAAGCATTCTGAACAGAATTTTTCAAGTACAGTATTATGCCATTCTTTAATTAATCCTAATACAGTATTCCCTTCCTTAATTGTAATGAATGATGGGGGTGGGGGAACTTTGCCATGAGCTGCTGACTGAATTTTTTAAAGTAAATTATAACATCTGACAGTATGAAAATATTTTTGTACAGTGTAATGTTAATTCAAAGCAGCCTGCCCTTGTTTTTATGATGGGAGATTATAGTTGTCATTAACAGTCATCATTCATTGTATCATCACCAGTTACAAATGAAAACATCTCCATGAGGCTTGATTTCCTTCTATTTTATTGGTACTGTCTTTCTCTTTAAAGGGTATGTTCTAGTATGGTACAGTATATGGTAACTGATCTATTCCAAGAGAAACACTAGCTGTAGTGCAACAGGAGTTGTAGCGTGGAGGGTGCCAGGATGGGAAAGCTAGTAGATCCCCATTGGGGGAGGGCACCCATATGGTGAGGAGGGTTGACTGGTAGTTTCTAACCTTTTATATAGGGCGTCTCTTCTGTAAAGGCCATGGGTAAATCAGTGCACACCATTTATTCTGTCTCTTTACTCAGGAACCTGTGGGCATCAACCCCGTTCAGGTAGAGGTCGGAGAGTTTGAAGAGCCTGTGGTGGATGCTGAGGAAATTGTTGCTGAAAGTAAGTGGTTTGGGAACTTTACAAAAGGCATGTTTTCTACATACCTGGTTTTGTCTGTAATAGAGGTATACCATATTTCCCCGAAAATAAGCCCTACCCAAAAATAAGCCCCTTCTCCAACCAGCCACTCCCTTCCCAAGCACCCGGTAGTGGCAGGGGACGATGGGCAGGCGAGGCTCCAGCTGGGGTGCCAGTAACAGTTTTGTTCACCTCTTTGTTCTGGCTTCTGAAGGCTCACGGTTTGCCGGTGGCTACAACTTGAGCTCCAGCCGGCTCCAAGCTGAGCTGAACCATGGTGTTGCACAAGCGGGTGAGAGCGGAAGTGACAGAACCCATGGTGGCGGGCAGGGCTTCTGGCCGAGGACTTCATCCTGGGGCCAGGGGAGGAGGGTCGCCCACCCTCGCTGCTCAGCCCTGCCTTCCAGCAACTCACGCCCCTCCTACTCTGCTCTGGAAAGGCAACTTTACAGGCTGCAAATGAGAATACTTTGGGCGCCAAAAGCATTCCCCCTCAATCTCTCATTTTCACATGATTTGAATAAATGTACATGGAAAAAAAATAAAACATCCCCTGAAAATAAGCCCTAATGTGTTTTTTCAAGCAAAAAGTAATATAAGACCTGGTCTTATTTTCATGGAAACACAGTAGCTATCAGGTCCAGAGGACCTTGAGGGAAGGAAATTACCTAGAAGTCACAATCCCTCTGAAGCCAGTTCCTCACACTCTGATTTGACTGCTGTTAGATCACTGGTATCTTCATAGGCATTATCTACAAAGTGCATGGGAAAGGCTTTCACAAACACATGTAGGTGCCTAATATAAATTTTCAATACATGAAGCCTAATAGTCTAAATTGACAGCCTAGCAGAAGAAATGGCTGCCACTTGATAACCAACTTCTATTTCTTTCCATTGTTTCCTTTTTGGTGCCCATCAATAACAAACATAATAAGCTGGACTTCTCTGGGCGTTTTACTCCATAAACATTCTTGTTAGCCAGTCCCATGTCGGTGAGCCAAGCAAATATAGAGCAGGAGGGCTCAGTTAAGTGAAAAGGCAGAGAACGCCTCTCCACGAATACTTGTCCGGTTCTTTATGAAGCACCAATGGTTCTGTTTTGATTTCCAAAATGGCTTCTCTGATCTTGTTTAGACCCCTGCCAGAACCATCACTGCAAGCACGGAAAAGTCTGTGAACTGGATGAGAACAACACCCCTATGTGTGTGTGCCAGGATCCCTCCAGCTGCCCAGTCAGCGCTGCAGTGTTTGAGAAGGTGAGAGGAGGCTTTAGATTTACAGCAAGGAGGAATGAACTGAGGCCAGTACAGCAAACAGTCAAAAGTGGAGGTTTTGAATACAGTGATTACTTTAAGTGTCACAGAGTGGCTCCTGTATATCAGAGTTTGCTTCTGGTGATGCCCACAAAATCTGGCTTGGGTGGATATAATTGGAGCTGATCACATAGTTCTCTAACAGACTACCAACAACTGAACCTCTAAGGGCATGTTGGACGTTTCCTGTGTAACTGCCCATAGTTTAGTAGTAGAGTTTAAACTCAGTGCTCATTGTGACAGTTCCCTTGCTCATGTTCCCCCTGGAGGGTCCAAAATGTAAGGAACTGTATCGAGCTATTTGCAGTTTTCAACCCCACCAGGGTTTTTTTGTAAAACAAATGGGTCAATTTTCCACTCAAGACCAAGTCACTCCAAAATACTTTGGGAAGGAGGCTGAAGGAAGCTGTGATTTGAATGTTTTTCTGCCCTCACTTGTTAGAAGGTAGTGTAAAACCTGCTTTTTTTGTGATAGCGCATTTTGAATGTTTTTCTGCCCTCACTTGTTAGAACTGATCTAAATAACTATAAGGTAGTGTAAAACCTGCTTTTCTTGTGATAGCGCATTGGAAAGGATGTGATGGAGCAGCTCCAGAAATGCTGGCATGGGACTGCCTTTCCCCCTCAGGCTCTTATTAGTCAAGGACAGGAGTAGAGGTAGAGATCAGATTGCCTTGGCTGATGACCTGCAGCAGATGTAAAGAAGTGTGTCTGTTCAGCCTCTCAACAGTGTTTGATAAGAATTGGGTGAGACAGATCATAGAGGAGAAGAGAGGGCCGTTTCTTGGCAGTAGTTCTTGTCCTATCTGTTGAGTCTACCAAGGGGTTGCTACTCTGCCCCTTGGAATTTGTTTCAAAAGTATAGCAAACTTTCTTACCATATGTAGTGGTCTTTCGAATCTATACACAGCTGCTGAAAAGGTGGTCCATCAGATGAGGTTGCAGTGCATGACATCAATATACAGTACTGGCACCCAACTCCAGCTTTTTATTTGCATAAGATAAGAAATAGTTCAGTCCTTGAACACATCTTCGGTTCAGTTATGGCAATGGGTGACAGCTAATACACTGGGGCTTAGATCAAGAGGTGGCAGACATGTCTAGCCTAGGTGTGAAGGGTTGCTCTCTTCCCATCCTGCATAAAGTAAAAAATGACCCATGCCATGTTTGAACACTGTCACTGTCACTGTCTAATGCAGCTCCTCTTTTCACAAAGGTATGTGGCACTGATAATAAGACATACGACACCTCCTGCCACTTCTTTGCCACCAAATGTGCTTTGGAGGGAACCAAGAAGGGACACAAGCTCCACCTGGACTATATTGGGCCTTGCAAATGTAAGTTTTTAGCCTAAGGTTTCAGAACAATCCACTGAACACAGTAACTCTCCAAGAATGACCTATGTTCACTATCTTTTTAAAACAGCAAAATCCTAATGTGGGCAAAGGTATATCTAGAGTATGAATGCATCACCCTAATTCAGCATGTTCACTATAACTGGTGACGATCACAATTTTATGACCTTCACTTCATCTGTTTGCAAAAGCATTTAATCGAAAAAAGTTACAGTTGTGAAGAATGCACTGAAATAGGAGACCCATGTGCCTGAGAACTGGGTCATGGAAAGGCGGGCTATACATATATCCATATGATATCAACAACAAATACGTGCATGTAGCTGAGCAATCAGCAGAGGGAATCTTGCAACTACATTACATGAGATGCTGAAGTGGGAGAGGAAACCAAGGGTACTTCTACAGTTAGCAGGTAGTACAGAAATGCCACATTTTGTTCACTCTCTTTTTACATGAGATGCACAGAAGACCGTAAACGAGTCATTGTGTTGTGTCGCATTGTATCAGCCTCTATTTTCCTGGTGGGTTCTCCATTGTTTTTCAGCCAGTAAGAAGTCTGGCTTTTTAAAAGAGAAGGGAGGAATTACATAATCTTCAGAAGCAGAGGTACATTTAGCACTACCCTTTCAGGTTTTGAAAAGGGCCATGTCCTAATAATGTGTCAGGAACATCAGTTCCTCAGGTATGATGAACACAGAATGTGTGATGAAGATGGCTTTACTGTGTTAGGCATTGGCTAGGTATGTTTAACATCCAGCAGAGAGGCCAAAGGGAAAAGGGAGGCAGAGGTCCAGCAGTTTTTAACTGTAACACAGAAGGAATTTCAGCATATGTAAGTTACACAATGCTGGCTGGAAGGCTCAGTGGTTGAGGTACGTATCTGGCTGTGGAGCCGGAGCTTAGGAATTTGATTCCCCCCCCTGTACCTCTTGTGAACAGAGCCAGCCTGTGTGGCCTTGGGCAAGATGCACAGTCCAAGGATGCCTACAGAAGGAAAGGTAAATCAGAAAACCCTGGAAAAGGGTTGCTATGAGTCAGAATGGACTTGACGGCACATGGTTATTATACTTACATGATAAGGAACCTTTGCTGACCAGTTTCCCTGTTCTACATCACTGTTAAAAGTGCAGGAACCCTGCCCTTTTTCCTTTCTGGCCAACTTAGTTTAATGTTCTCCCCAATTTTAACGCAGTGGTGACTTTCCTTGTTGAGTAGTTTCATTTACAGTGCTAGACAGCTCGGCTGATAGGCTTTCTCTGGTTTTCCTGATGTTTCTTCCATAAGGCTTTTGGCCCTAGATGTCAAGTAAGGGACAAAATAGACTGTCAAGACCAGTACAATATTAACTTCCACCAGCCTGCTGGCTTTGCCTCTGAAGAACAGCCATGTTCTTATTAGCAAGTGTTTTCCTGGCTACTCTTTGCCCTGGCTCAAGGTATCTGCAGCTGCTCCTGATGTTTGTGGAACACACTGTGGGCTACGATGATTTCCTGTTTCCCAGTAATCCAGTATAAGCTGTCCTGTGTGACTAACAAGCTCCCTAAGACTGAGTGTGGCATTAAAAAACAAAGAAAAAAAAAGAAAAAAAAAGGGGCGGGACAGCATAAATCACAAATATTTTCCCAGCCTTATTTTCTGAGCAGGAAAGGCAGAGTTAGATCATGTCAGAACACCAAATGTGTGGTCAAGGCAGTTTTACAGTATTAGCTGCTGCAAGGATATTGTTTTTCACTTCACATGGGTCCTAATTTTAAAGCAAGCAGCTGTCTCCGAACCTCGTTTCAAGCAATACATTAAGATTCCCGTTCCCTATTTATCTGAATAATAGTGGCTAACATTTAAACAAATGTGGCACTAAACAAGTTGAATTTAGACCATTAGCAGTTTAAGCCCTAACCCAACCAATGAGAGCTGATTAAGCGTAGTTTATCTCCAGATGTGACTGACTATACAGTAGCTCCCATCCATAGCCAGCATGACCACTGAGATAAGGTAGAGTAAATAAATAATATAATTAATATAAATAAATGACAACGATGAGAGTTCATGATATCAAGTGGCACCCAAGAGAGAAATTTTGAATTGGGGTGGGGGGAAGCTCCAACTACTGCTTCTAATTACATGCAGATTTTGAGATGCTTGAAATATATATTCATGTGAATGAAAATCAAGGGGTCTCTCACAGGTTAAGGAAACTATGATAATTCTGGTCTGATTCAGACCACTAAATTCTGCTGTTTGTGGAGGATAGCTTTCCTTGTGTGCAATACAAAATGAAACAGAGAGAAAAATGTTTAACTGAAGAAGGAATGCCACTGCCTCATATCTGATGGGATGTTGTATCTAATCACAGGGCAATCATTCCCAACCTTCAGTCCCCAGATGTTCCCAGAGTAAAATTCCAAGAAGGTTTGTATCTAATCACAGGGCAATCATTCCCAGCCTTCAGTCCCCAGATGTTCCCAGACTAAAATTCCAAGAAGGTTTAACCACCAGCTGTGCTGGCCAAGATTTCTGGGAGCTGTAATCCAGGAACATCGGGGGACCCAAGATTGGGAACTACTGATCTAGGGCAACATATTTTGTTACAATTGTTTGAAGTTTAAAGACAACAAAACCAGATTGTGTTTTACTGTGACTATACCAATAAGCCTCTTGATGTGTTTCAGTGATTCCTCCCTGCCTTGATGCTGAGCTGACAGAATTCCCCCTGCGCATGCGTGACTGGCTGAAGAATGTCCTGGTCACTCTATATGAGCGTGATGAAGACAACAACCTGCTGACTGAGAAGCAAAAACTCAAGGTGAGCATGATCAACTCATATGCACATCTCCAGACCTGTACAGTGGAGAAATCTTCCTGAAGTTCCAGTCAAGGTCAAGATCTACCAACCGTATCTTAGCAAGGCCAACACAGCTACGATAGTTTTACGAAATGTGGTGCCTTCCATATGTTTGGAATTATAGTTGTCACCAGTCCTAACCAGTATGGCCTATACTGTTTTGCACAGTAACTGAATCAGATTAGGATGGGTTGGTCTGTTGGAAGCTAACCTAATCCAATTACATTTCATATATTATATTGTAATATATATATGCTTGTAAATGTGTCTCTATTATGGCAAACCCTCCAGATAATGTTGGAATGAAATTCTCATTGTTCGCCACCAGTGGACATGTTGGCTAGGGCTGACAGAGGTTGTAGTTCAGAAACATCTGGAAAGCCACATGTTTCTCCCCCTTTGCAAAAGAGACAGAATTGGCAATAATACATGGATGTTTAATATATACTTCTAGCAATGTGCAATGTCATGTGTGCAGTGACCTCAGCTGCTCAAACATGAAGCAAACTATACATCTATAAAACCCGTCCTCTTATATCACCTTGCCTGACATTCCATTTATATGCAAATAGTTTTCACCAGATGGAAATTTCTCTTGGGACAGTAAGGCATGCACTAAATCTCATGCCATACCCCCTTAATGCATATTTTTGCCAATAATTTATACAAAGCATCTCTGTAATTCTTCAGGGTAAGGGAAGAAATTCCAAATGGGAGGAGGGGGACTCAAACTCTTTTTAAATTGCACATTGCAATTCAGGTGAAGAAGATCTACGAAAATGAGAAGCGCCTGGAAGCTGGCGACCACACCATGGAACTGTTGGCCCGTGACTTTGAGAAGAACTACAACATGTACATCTTCCCTGTGCACTGGCAGTTTGGTCAGCTGGACCAGCATCCCGTTGATGGGTAAGAATTGACCTGTTTGACAGTGGAACAAAACTTCTTGGAGCATGTTGGACTCTGCTTCATTGGGAGGATATTAACAGAGGTTTTGTAACTGTCTCTCACAAGTGTTTTAGCTGTGAATTTTGTGCATTAGTTAAATTACCTTGAAGTCCTTTCAAATGCAACAATTCTAGAGATCCAAAATGATATGTGGTCATTATCTCAACTGGACAATGAGCCTGTTGAACAGACTAGCACAAAAATATAAAGAAGAGTATGAAAAAGAGCACAAGTGCGAAAACTTAATTTGAGGGATGAGATCATTCCTCTTCCTACAACTCCACTTCATGGCTACTCCTGCTCTGACTCACTTGTACAGCCATAGTGATCAAAGGAAAATCCTTTTGTTCTAGGAAAAGTCCTAATTGATGCTATCTTCTTGGTGGGGTTGTGATTGTAACCCTCTTTCCATTCTTTTCAGATACCTGTCCCACACCGAGCTGGCTCCTCTGAGAGCCCCCCTCATCCCCATGGAGCACTGCACCACTCGTTTCTTTGAGACATGTGATCTAGACAATGACAAATACATTGCCCTTGAGGAATGGGGCAGCTGCTTTGGCATTAAGGAGAGTAAGTATCACATGTCCATTCCTAAGCCACCAGCAAGGCTGGTCCAACAAATCTGGAAAACTACATGTTCCCCACCCTTGGGCTATGGAAAGTATTCCCAATTCCAAATATCTCTAATTTATTCTACTTGACTTAAGAGTGCTTGGGAGATGTGTTAAGATCATAAAGTAATATCAGTTGCTAATAGTGCTATCTTATTCACGACTCCTGTTAGATAACTCTTCAAGAAGTTACTCTGTCAGGTAACTTCTTCTACCTGATGAAAAATGGGTGGAGCAAATGGCAGACTTATTTGACATTCATAATTACTATTTTATTTCATTTTCACTTTATTCTTTTTTGAAGCAACTCATTCATTGGACTGTAAAGTTGTCTTCCTGCCTAGCAACCTAATTTGATTAACTTCATCAGCAGAATATATTCATACATACTTTAAATGGGACATCTTCCATAAATCAAATGGCTCTAGACCTAATCAGTATTCTGGCCAATCAGTCAATCATAGATTTCTCATCATATAGTATGGCTGTATCCAGCAAAGATCTATGTTCAAATCCCAACCATGTAAAAAACTGGCTTAGAGGTAACAGCAATAATGAACGCTAGAAGAGGTCAAAAAATCACATTGAGATTGACTAAACTCACCCACAAATTAGCAAACCTGTTCTTACTTTTTTCCCCCCTTTTTCTTTTACAGAGGATATTGACAAGGATCTTGTGATCTAAACGGAGCATCATAATCTGTTGCCTACAACTCAACCTTTTCTTCCATTTTTAACAGTTTGAAGGGTTTTTTTTTGTTGTTGTTCTACTGGGGACAAGGTGCTAATATAGATCTAAACTTATATATTAACGGTGCTAAAGAAAGAAACAGAAAATTGTTAGTAGCCTAATCTATACCACTAGATTATTCAGCTCACGCACTCATCTGTGTTTCTATTGACCTTTTAATTAGACTGTATCACTACAGTGGGAAAAACCCTACTTCTGTTCAAAATATCTATCCCTTCATTGATTCTCTCTTTCTTTTTTAATCTTGGTTAAATTTGGGTTATTTAACTCTCAGGCTAAGGAACTCAAAAGTCCCTAATTAATAGGGGGATAGAAAGGAAGGTGTACCAAAAAAAAAGGGTATTGAGAGACAAGGCTTTGCAGAGTCAAATGGTGTCGCTGTTTTTATTAAAAAGTAGGTGACTTGGATTTTATCCCTTCGTGAAATGGAAAGTGATGGCAGTGGAAGAGGCCTGAAAAATTCAAAATGGTGACTTTTTAAATTGCAGTTTCTGAGCTAACAAAACTGAGCACAGATTCAAACAAAAATAGTAACTGAGCAACTGAGGCATGTGGGAGGAAAAAGTCTTGTAACCCACCCATCCCCCTTTAAAATAAAAAGTTAAAAATGCTACCTGCTTCATTGCTACTCAGTGACTGTATTGTTTATTGCTTTGTTTGGCATGCTTTAAAAGTCAGATTTCATTCTCACCTAAGTTTGGTTGTACTTTTTTTTTGTTTGGTCTTTTATCCTACTGTGATTTATTTCCAACTGAAACACATGTTGTAAGACAAAACAATGTTTCCCTATATATCATTCCTCCATAACTACAAATGACCACTCCAATATTTCTGTCCTGTCTTAGGAAGCTAACTTTGTAAGTGATGCTCTTACTCAAAACATGGTATGTGGTGCAGATTATTGAGCATATGAGGTTTAGCTGGGTTTGGATTTCTTTTAACTGAAGGAAGAGTATCCTCATACAAAACCTTATTAAGGTCACTATAATTCAGTTCCTGCTTGACCACAGATAACTAACTAGTTGTAATAGCACTGAGATACCAAATGTGGTATAGCGGATAGAGTGATCATTTAATGGTGCAGCAGCTAGATAGTCCAAGTATCCCAGCAAGAATCAGTCTAGATCTTCCCACACAGAGGCACTTTTGGGTATGGAGTATCAACCACATTGCATCTCAAGCAACTCTGTCTAACCCAGTTTAGAATGCTTTTTTTCCCTTTAAAGCAAAAAAAGAAAAACAAAACACCTTCCCATCTCCCCTTCCATGCTCTGCCTAAACTGCTTAATGATCTTAAGGAATTAAAAGCTTCCTTGATGCTTACCTGTGGAAGGAAAGAGAAACAAGATTTTCCATTTCTTTTAATTTGTTGCTAACTGGCACTCCACATCAGCAATGCTTTGAAAGGATTGAAAACATCCTTTCCCTTCCCCTCCAAGGCAAACAATAAGGAAGCTTTCCATTTTTCTAGTTCCTTCGGTGGCCTCAGCCAGGTAGCTCTTTAGTTTAGTCCCAGGAATCACAAGCCCTGGAATCAAACCAAAATGTTGTGCATTAAAACAAAACAGTAGCTCCTGACAAGGACCCAAAAAGATGAAGATAGTTATCAATCATGGGCAGGCTCATTCAAAATGCCATGTACATTGAGGTCTCTCTCCAGGAAAAAGAATGAACTGGCCTATCCCCATCCCCAACCCCAACCAATCTACAGGACAAATGTCCATCGGATCGTACTCTTAAGACTCTGGATTCCATGGGATCAGATAAATCCCCGCACAGCCATGGGAAGCAACTGGGGAGGAGTGGAACTTGTTCCACAGACTAACAACATGCTGGGTAAAGAAATATTTTCTTTTGTGTGTTCTCACTCAATTTGAGTTTATGTCTTCTGGTTATGGTATTGTGTCAGAAGGAAAAGAGCTTCTCTCTACCCACCGTTCTCTTCTGAACCTTTTCCGTCTTTTGTGTGTTCTCACTCAATTTGAGTTGATGTCTTCTGGTTATGGTATTGTGTGAGAAGGAAAAGAGTTTCCCTCTACCCACCGCTCTCTTCTGAACCTTTTCCAGTTCCACAATGTCTTTTTTGAGATGTGGTGACCAGAACTGTACTCAACACTCCAGGTGTGGCCTTAGCATTGTAATGCATTATAATGCTGTTTGTACAATGGCATTATAATGCTGTCTGTTGTATTTTAAATCCTCTTTTCAATGATCCCTAGCATGGAATTAGCCTTATTCACTGCTGCTGCAGCTCTGTGCCTATTCACTTTAATACAGCTTAGATTCCTTTCATTAAGATTGAAACTCTGAGGGCCAATCTGTACTCTAGACTGGCACTGGTCAAACAACAGTGTCCGTAACCTACAAATTTTGGGAATTGTAGCTCTATGAAGGGGCCCATCAAAAATGACTCTGCTCATGCACCAAACAACTATTCCCAGGACTCTTTGAGCGGAAATTGGTACTACCCACACACTGGAGAGATAATGCTCCCAGAGCTTTTCTCTAGGTGTGCAGCTATGCTCGGTACCTACTTCCTCTTCCATCTTAAGGCTTTACCGAGGCAGCAGATACGAGAGAACAAAGCAGAAGAGGAACCAGATGTAGAACTAGTTGAAATGGATGGTTAATACAGTGGCTTGCTGAAACCAACGTATGAGGAAACATAAAGGCTCTTTACTAATTAATATGAACATGTAACTGAAAGTTGTTATGGAAAAGAAATGCCTCTCATGTCTTGGACTGCTTCAGATTATTCAGAAGGATGTCTCAGTCATAACTTTTTTTATGCTTATGTTTGTCACACAAACAAACGTCTGCAAAGCAGAGCCTGGAAAGTAATCTTTAGAAAGAATTACTAAAATGAGAGGTTGAAGCTCTCTGCAAATGAATAGTGAAGAAATTATGCACTGGAACATCATCCTGCCACTGCTTAGCTATGGATTGCTTCAGCATGTCAATACAGCCATTCTTCTTGAAAGTAACTTTCCAAGCACTGCCCTGAAGTTAAACACAAGCACACCTCTCATGGAAAACTAGACATGTACCAAACTTCAATCATAAATGTTAAAAAAATTATAACAAACCTCTGCCAACACCACAACATTCAGCAGAGAGCTCTTCAGCAGAACAAGGTAGAGCCGATGTTAACTGATCAATCTGGAAAAAAATGTAATCAGAAGGCATTTATGCTATAGCTTGTCAACTGGGGTGTAGGGTGGGGTGTGTGTCTCTTCCCTACAAGAGGAGGGCAGATCTGAGGACAACTCATGTTTCTCTCTCTGGGACAAGATGACACTATTCTCCCTTTTATGACATAGCAGCAGGGGTGGAAGAAAAGGAAAAGAAAAGAAGGAAGCAATATTGGCTTGTGTTTCCTATTTTGCCACTAGTGACTGAGTAGATTGTAAGTCACAGTTTCTTCTCATGTTCTGCAAGCTCCTGATTTTCATACTTACAAAAAAAATACTCAAAACGAAAACAAACTCAAAGTTATAAAAACAGAACATTGATTATTCTCTTCAATACCAAGTCCTGAAGTGTTTACTGTACTTGGAATTCCCATGGCCATGGCAAACCATGATGCCAAGTTTAATGTCAAGGACATTAAACTATCAAAGCTCATTTCAATCTACCAACATCATCTCTAGTTTTTGCGAATGCTGGCATTTTTAATATCTTTGCTTTCCTTAGCTTAGTGAGTGCTTCCACATGGGTGTTTACTCTGGAATAGACACACTTTGCTTACTCGCTTATTCTGTTGCTTTTTCACTGTGTGGAAATGAGCAGAAAGAAGGGAGAAAAGCAAGCCATACCAACATGATGTAGCAGTAGGCCGTTCTCTATTTACTCCTACAAGTCTTGCCTCACCAGCAAAGACCAAAGCAGAAAAAACAGCTTGTCTTTTTCACTTTTTAAAAGAAGTCATGCGGCAAGTTGTACAGATTTGAAAAAGGCAGGGCAACCCTAGAAGAGAACAATGAACATCTATTTGAAACAGTTTCCAGTAACCCAGTGGTTCCCAATCTTGGGTCCCCAGATGTTCTTGGGCTACAACTCTCAGAAATCCTGGCCAACACAGCTAGGGGTGAAGGCTTCTGGGACTTTTGGTCCAAGAAACATCTAGGGACCCAAAGTTGGGAACCACTGGGTTACTGGAAAGTAGACATGGTATTAACATACAAGCTTCATTGCCGAGGCACATATGGAAACCATATTGTAGGAAAGGAAACAGGTTAATAGAATATATATAAGCAGCACATCTTGCAGTTTGCTTTTTAATCCAAAAAATGTGCATTCTTCTTCATGTCTAGTATGACCCCAAGGCTGAAAATGCAAATGCTCCTGCTCTTTGGTAGTAGAACTATCATATGCAAAAGAATGTCTTGCTGCATTTTCAGTTTTTCCCCTTGCTTAACATCAGGACTGTGCCTGAAATCAATTAGAGCATCAGAAATTCAACAGTGAGCCCTAAACAGATGAATCAACTAAAAAAATGTTTCTGAAGTGCTCTTAGTGGCCTGAATCAATCAGCTGTTGTACCAACAACTAAATCTTTCCAACAAGGTCATGTGCTTGCACTACCCTGACAACAAAAATGGAATTCCAGCACAACATCATGGTTGCCATTGCTACTAGAACAACAGCCATCCCCTTCAGACATAATGCAAAAGGCCACACTGAGGAAAATGGAAGAAAAAGGATAGTGGGCTGTGGGGAGTCAAGCGACACTGCAGCCAGTGTAATACAAGATGTGCGTAACAGTAATCTTATGACCTAAATCCAATTATTTGTCCCAACTAGAGTAAACCTATTGAATTTAATAAGTGTTTCCTTAACAAGTTCCTAGGAATTGGAGTTATATGCCCAAAAGCTGGCAAGTATGCCTAGCCACAGCTGCAGCAACAGTAAATGCTTTACAAGAAAACTGCAACAGAACGCCATCAAACAGGATGCATGCATGTGCTGAATGTATCTCTACCCTAATTTTTATTATTAAGAAACAGTATGAAAATCAAGAAAGTACAATAAAACCCAACTGGTAAAGAGGCAGAACAAAAAAAGAAAAAAAACAGCTTTGTAAACTTAGTTCATAAACTTAGTTTACTTCGTACTAGAATCATTACAACCACTAGGGTTGAATAACTGGTGAGGTCAGGAAAATGCTTGGGCAAATAAGAAATATCTCTACAAGCAGCAGGAATGCCCTAATATGGGAGCCTGCCTGATCTCAGCAGCGAGATTATTCCGCACAGTCACCTCCTCCACAGACGTAACTTCCACAGTTGTACACATCTGCGGAAGTAAAGCATTTGTCTGGAAGCTTCTGGATGAGATCATCTCCAGAATTATACAGGAATATGTGGTGCATTTTCCCCTCACCTAGGAGTCTTGCAGAACCTATCATTCATAATACTGAAATGCTATCTGAAGGAGTTACATAAGCTGGTAGGAGACTTGGCCTGGGTAGCAGCATATTTATTGACAATGATCATTGCTTATAAAATTTATCATTCTGAAGCTTCACGCATCTACTGAATTTAGATGTATAGAGCCTCAGAACTTCTGACAGAGATACTCTTGTTTGAGTTATTAACTTGAGCATAGTTGGTTCTGTAGTTATGAGAGATCCCATTCCTCTGAATAACTGAGAGGATTTAAGAGTAGATAAATGCCAATTTGTGTTTTTG